GTTGTATATATGTTATATATATATGTTGTTTAATTAAACAGAAATATGATTAAATTTTTTTTGTTTTTGTTTTTTTTCCCAACTCATAATTTTAAGTCACAAGAGATAAAACTCAAACTTTTAAATTCTATAGCTAAAAAGTAGCAATTTGTTGAGGAAAAATACATCTATGTACAATGAGGCAATGAATGATAAAGGTAAATTTCACAAAATTACACCATGAGCAAGAAATTACCCGCTATCTTTTCTTACAGATTTTCATGGAATAGGAAAATCACACAAAAAAGCTACCCTGCAGCAAGCTTTAAAGTGACCTGTACACAAAATAACAAGAGAAAGAGAGTGGAGAACATCATCAATCGATCAGTAGCAAAAGATGAAAAGTTTTATAATGTAAAATAATTCTGCAAACTGAGATAGTTGGACAGCACAGAGACAAAATTATGATGCCAAATGTGTTTGCTGTACATGTGCTCATTGGTTGTAATGGGTCCTGTTGGTGTATTTGATTGTTGCCTATTCTTTTCCTTGTGGCAACATTTGTGGAGCGTCGCCGTTGCACCTCGCCTGCTGCTGCTGCTCAACCTGCTGGGCTGCAGCTTGCACGGAGGGTGCAGAGACAGCTGCAGTCTGTGTGTCAGAAGACTTTTCCTTCAGAGCGGCCTTTAAGCTTGCAGCCATGCTGAGGCCTCCACCAGCAGGCGGAGCAGGAGCACCGCTGGGCGTGTTGGGGTCAGCTGCTGCCCCTGCCGACCCACCGGCAGCATCACCCTGATCAGATGCTCGAAGCCTTTTCATCAGCGTAGTCACTCTCACGGCTTTCTGTGAGTAATAAAAACAGCAATAGAAGCATATGAAGTTTTAAGATATTGTCATATAGTCTCTTTCAGATGTATGTAGGCATTAGTCTTCAGAAAAAACAAATAATAATAATAATAATAGTAATGCCTGCTAATTATAATGGAAAACAAACGTCCTTTCTCCTCTTCCCCTGCTCGGGTTGTTTGCTTGGAAGGAACACACGCTTATGTCAGAATTAAACAACATCTTTATTTTTACAGACTTTAAAATGAGTGAACAAGAGATAATTATATAAATTTATTACCTGACATCAAGAGGACCCCGTTCTTATAAGGAACTATTTTCCTACTGACAGCAGAAAGTGTCATGGTTGATTTTAAAAGTTTGCAGTCACTAAAATATATTTTTTATCATCTTATGGCCTGATATCTGATAGATATTCTAGTCCTCTTTATATGATCTATGTTCCATAATTCATAATTAAACCTTATATTTACCAACCCATATTATGTTATTTTCCACAATTTATCATCAAAGGTTATTTTATTCCTGACATAATATATGATATAAATGATGTATGAACTGTATTTCATATGTTAGAAGCAATACCTTCCATTTGGCTTTGGCAAAGTTCTTTTCAATTTGTGCACAAACTCCGTCTTTGATATTCTTATCTGAGGCAGCGTTTCCAGAAATCCTGAAAGAAAGAAAGAAAGAAAAGAGTGATTTTCTTCTGCATTGATGAACTCAACAAGTCTAATAATTCAAATTATGTTAGTGGAGACATTGATATTTTACTTATTTCCATTTTTTTATTTCCACTTAATTTCTTTCTTTCTTTTTTTAATTTTATTTATTTAAGTTACCATTCATGGGCAATAGCTTCTTGTGCAGTCAAACGCTGATCCTGGTCAACATCCATCAAAGAAGCCACTAAATTCTTGGCTGTAAAACAGAAAACAGTGATAT